CACTCACTCCAATCATATCTTTTATATAATACACTTTTATAATATTTTATTATTTTAATATTTAATTAATGGTATAATTTGTACTCTACCAGCAAAATCTACAAAAAAAATTGTGATCTTCTAAAATAATTGAATTGCAAATTGAGGAAAATTTTGGATTTTTGATCAAAACAACAAAATTTTCAAATCTACGAACAAAATCCACAAAAAAAGATTGCTTCGCTTTGCAATATCAAAAGTAAATTCACATGATTGGGAGGCGCAGTTGGCAGCATCAAAACAAAAGAATTCAACTCCAGTAGTGCTCCCCAAATCCGTGGCTTGTAGTGTTGGCCGTTGGGAGAGCAAATAACAGGGAACAGATAGAAGGAGACGAATAGACGGGCTTTTCCACTTTCCTACAGTATCATCTATTTTTAGCATATGGGAATGCAGAAATAGATTAGGGTGTATTTTTTAACAGATGCGTTGGAGACATTTTTATTGAATAGTAAAGGGCATATCTTTTATTTTTTAGCATATACTGAATTTTAAACTCCCCGTTGGAGTTGCTCTAACCCCACTATATTGTTGTGCTGCTGGAAATCAAAAGAAGTCATGTAGATGTTGTTAGTTGTGCAGTAAACTACTCTCCCGTAAATAGCACTCCGTATTTCGCAGTCGTCTGTCCTAGGGGTGTGCATTATTCGGTCCGGACCCAGACCGACCCGAAACCCGGCCAAAACCGGATTGGACCGGTCCTTATTCGGTCCGGTCTCCGGTCCCCAATTTTTCCTTATTCGGGTTTCGGTGTCACCGGGTTTCGGTCCGGACCGGTGGACCGGTTAAAATTTAATTTTTTTTTATTTTTTTCAATATACTTTTATAATATTATATTTTTCTAAGATTTTTTCTTATACTTAAAATTAATTTAACTTTAATACTAAAGATTTTTATATGTTTTGATATTATTATTTAATATAATTTTTTAAATACATTATCAATTCTAAATAATATATGAGTTCTATCTAATGATTTTGAAATATTTTTAATATGAAAAGTGTAAAAAAGTAACATTACCTTTATATTAGCGATCTAATGCATTTCTCATATATTTACCAATACTACACCTAAATTTGTACTTTATCAATAATGAAATGCTAATCCACAAAAACTAACAATGTGAACAATCTCAGGAACAAAATACTAAAAAATGGATTCGTTTGTCAAAATAAATCAAAAACTCAAAAAATATTACAAAAAAAAACAAAAATGAACTAAGAAGAAGAATATTATGTATGTAAAATAAAAATTACGAACAAATTTTATGTAATACGGAAGTCATATATTTTGTTTGAAGTTTTTTTTTAAAAAATCAAAACAACTATGTATGACTATGTTTAGTGCATGTTATAATTAAAAATTAGTTGTAGTTATATTTTTATTCAATTGAATACTTAAAATTAAATAAATAAAATCAAATTTAAAAAAAAAAATAAAAATAAGCTTTATTCGGTCCGGTCCCGGTCCGGTCCGGGTTTGACCGGTCCGGTCCTGGTCCGGTCCTTAGCTTAATCGGTCCGGTCCTCGGTCCACCAAATGCTCCTCATTCGGTCCCGGTCCCGGTCCGGTCCGGGTTTGACCCGATGAACACCCCTAGTCTGTCCCAATTTATTTACAACGCACTGAACGATGTACAAAATATTATCTCTTCTAAAATCATTTTAATTTAAAATTGGTAAAGTAACAAAAAGTAAAAATTACACCATTCAAAAGTATATGAAAAGTTCTACAAAATAAGATGCGACAAAATATTTTATTTTATCAAATGATCAACCAAAACGAGTAAACAAACAAAAGTAGTCCCTAACTCTCCCTAATTCTCGTTTTGATCTTTTGCGATGTTTAAAGAGAGTTGAAAAAAGTGAAAATTTAACCAAATATCCTTAACAAAAATGGATGGGGTATATTGAATAGGTGGAAAAGATATACTCCCATCCAGTTTTGATCCGTCCCGCTATATTCGTCCACTTTTGACTTTTGGAACTGTTCATCTAAGCACTTTGACTTATCAAATTCTCTCAATGTGTAAGCCTAAATATAGTCATGCGTGATCTTGTTTGATTTGTCTTAACATATAGATTATTAATATATAATTTCTATAATTTTTTAATATACAAATTATAAGATAAAATGGATTAAAGAAGTGTATTGGATGGTGTACAAAAATGAAAGTAGACAAATATAGTGGGACGGAGGAAGTAATAAATAAAGTAAGTGAGAAACCATTGATTTAGGCACCGTTCCGTTCAACTTATTTTTTCTGATCTGATCTGATTCTAATAAATTCTAATCTGATCTAGTCTGATCTGATTGGATCTGATCTGATCAGATTGAATCTGATCTGATCTGATTGGATCTGATCTGATTTGATTGGATCTGATCTGATCTAATTGGATCTGATCTGATTTAATTGGATCTGATCTGATTGGATCTGATTTGCTCTAATTAGATCTAATCTGATCTGATTGGATCTGATCTGATTAATTATGATTTAATTTAAAATTTCGAATCAATAATTTAATTTGACTTTATAATAACGTTTGAAAATTGTAATGATAATTCATATTATAATATAATCAATATTTTTTATTTAATGATTATTTTTTAATAAAATAGAAATAGTTAATTCATATATTAGAATAATCATTCATATTATACTGTAATAATATTTTTTATTTTATGATTATTTTTTTTGTGAAATTAGAATTATACATTAGAATAAATATTTAATTTAGATATACATTAAAAAGTAATTAAATTTAGATAATCAATATATATAAGAGATAGTATTTTTATTAAAATATTTCATCCTTATAAAAGATCATAAGTTTAGAAACTCAAATAACAAGTTGCAATAAAAATATATTTTAAAAGTAGAATTAGATTGACATTGTCAATGTATTTTAAAACTAATTTTTCCGACGTCTAATAATTAAGGATTACTTTCTCAGTTTTCTATTTAACCTATTTCTAAAGTATATTCTTTTTCATTTTTAAGAACAATAATAATACTCCGTAAGGATGATGATGATGATGATCATAATAATAATAATAATAATAATAATAATAATAATAATAATAATAATAATAATAATAATAATAATAATAATTGATGGGATTTGATTTTAATAAGTCATGATCTGATCTGATCTGATCTGATTCAATCTGATCTGATCTGACCTGACCTGAATCGATCTAATATGATTTGGTCTGAACTGATCTGATTTTAATAAGAATTAGAAAAAATAAGAAAAAATAAGTTGAACGGAGCGGGGCCTTAGCATATATTTAGCCTTTCACTTTGTAAATACTCCGTATGGTAGTAGTATAATTAATTTATATTCTTACCTTATGCGTAACCTGACTTGTAGGAATCCGTCTACATATATTTTCAATCCTCTTGGTTTAACAAACACAACAATAATTTCCCATATGATTTAAAACAAAAAGCAAAAAAAAAAGGAGGTTGCTAAAACCGGCCGGTCTGGTTCCGGAACCGCCGGTCTGGGTACCGGAACCGGTATCGTCCGGTCCGGTCACGATACCGGTATTAAGGGGTGGCGGAACTGGAACCGACGGTTTCAGAATTGAAATCGTCCCGGAACCGTACCGTGTCCATCTCTAGCCTTTACACTTAAATTAAAAAATAGGAAAAATATATACTCCACTAACATTCTAACCCCACTATACTGTTGTGCTGCTGGAAATCAAAAGAAGTCATGTAGATATTGTCAGTTGTGCAGTAAACTTACCCTCTCGTAAATAGTACTCCGTATTTCGTAGTACTCTCTCCATCTCCAATTTGATTATAAATTGCGAGTTACAAAATAAAATTTTCTATTTTTTAGAAATTATTTTATTTACAATTTGGTATATAAATAAGATATAAAAATTACATATTAAAAAATTATGTAAAATTTTCTACAAAACAAGAAGTGACAAGAATTTTTTATTATATCAAATACGGAGTACTTAATAAAATCATGTAAATAAACAAAAATTATTGAGAGGAGAGAAAAGATTGTAATCTATTTAGGGACGGAGGGAATATAAAACTTTTTCTACTTAAAGAATTTGTACCTCATTTTATACATCACAAGGATGCATCAATATTTTGTGTTGGTATAATACTACTTTTTGTTAACACATCAACACGTTGTGTTAGTTTAAATTTTTGTTAATTCACTAACACTTTGTGTCAGTGCGAGCCATCATAATGTTAATGCATCCTTTTGGTGTAATAATTCCATCACAAGGATATTGTACATCACAAGTGATGGGTGTATTCCACCCATGACCGGTCAAAGGAAGAGACCAGATAGTTGACCGGTCAATCTTGAGAGTTAAGGAGAGGGACCTTAATCATTAGCCAGAGGACACTCAAATCGGTCAAAAGCTGACCGGTATACTTTAGAAAAGTATACCGGTCAAACTATTACATGGTTCCATTCATCCTTGTTGATGGGTGTATTCCACCCATGACCGGTCAAAGGAGAAGACCAAATAGGTGACCGGTCAATCTTGAAAATTCTGGAAAGGGAGACTTTAATCGTCAGCAAGTGGGTATTTGATCGGTCTGAATTTGACCGGTGTACTTCGGGAAAAAGTATACCGGTCAAACTACTTATCACTCCATTCATTCCCTAAGTACGATAAACTCATCCCTCAGAAATTACCCGGTGTAGTTTCTAGGGTTGGAAAGTGTCAGCAGAGGAGAATCTACGAGGGCTTGGCGTGTAGTGACTCGTGTCAGTAGAGGACAACTGGAGATGCTGAAGAATCCATCCAAGGCACTACCTGACAAAGGGAATAATCCCCCTCACAAGGCGACAAGGTAGCTAAGAGACGAGGCCCATCACCTCTCAACATCCGAGACACGTGCCTCCACGTGGGCGCACATGGGCCTGTCCCCCCAAACCTAGTATAAATACGGCTGTAACTCTCAGAAGTAGGGATCCGAATTCACTCTCTCTAAACTCCCTTGTAAAAGCACCCGTGCATTCTCCGGTTATAATATAAATTGGGCTACAGGTGTTCCACCTAAAGTCCTCCCGGTCAATTTGCGAGTTTTTATCTTTCTTACTTTGCCAAATCAAGCGAACTATTCTAGACCCGGTCTAGTACAGTTTGACCGGTCGAGTAATTTACACCATCATTTTTGGCGCCACCCGTGGGACCGTTAAGGTTTCTTCTCCTAAACACAAACCTACCCAACAAAACACCACTCGAAATGTCTTCCAGCCAACAGATCAACGCTACTCCCGCTCAGGTGCAAGCCACCAATGAGGGCGCCAGCACCCCTGCGGCTGCTACCATACCGGTCATTTCAGCCCCGGTGCTGCCCCTGGGCCTGAGCTCTGTCCCGACGGCCAGCGTGATCAGTCCCTTCGTGACCCCCGTCCCTTCCGCTGGACCGAGGGTAACGTTCCCACCAAGCATGGCTCAGTTCATGAATGACCCAGCCAACCTCCAAGCCATCCAGGGCTTCGGCCAGGTCATGGCCATGTGCCAGCAGAATGGGGGGATGCCTTTCCTCCCTGGTATGTTCCCGTTCGCCCTTCCAGGCGCGGGGACTATGCCTCTACAAGCTCCGATGGCGGTGACGTCGTTTCAAACGCCGATGCCGCAACCATCACCTTTCCAGCCCCAGCTGGTCAGCACCATGGCCCCGGTCAACTTGGCAGGTGCACTTAACGCTGCAGGGCCGTCGCGTCCCCCGCAAGCTACGGATCCACAGGTCACTCCTGATGGTCATTGCGTCTCGATTGAGAGCAATGACGGCGAGTGGGACATCCCGAGGGCCCACAAGAAGAAGAAAGGAAAAAACATCCGGCCAGCGACCTCCCGAAACTCCGCCTTCGAAAGGCTGGGGGATAGGGAGGAAGGCCAGAGGAAGTCAGCCAAGCAGAGGCTGGGGCAGAGTGTTGCCCATGTCAGCGCATTCGCCCGGCTAGGCGAGGTGCGGGAGGCCGAGCCTGCCCGCACCCG